TGTTGTGGAGAAACAACAAGGTAAAAGTATCAAGTGTCTTCGATTTGATCGAGGAGGCGAATACCTCTTTGGAGAGTTTAGGACATACCGATCAGAAGCAGGGATTGAATCCCAGTTGACTGCACCCGGCACGCCCCAGCAGAACGGGGTTGCAGAGCGAAGAAACAAAACCCTTATGGAAATGGTTAGGTCGATGATGAGTTATTCGAAGTTACCAAATTCGTTTTGGGGATTTGCATTAGAGACAGCATGTTACATTCTGAATTCTGTTCCTTCAAAATCAGTAGACAGTACTCCTTATGAGTTGTGGAAAGGGCGCAACCTAGTTTCTCACAAATTCGAATTTGGGGTTGCCCTGCACATGTCTTAGTGCAGGAGGCTGGCAAGTTGGAGAAACGTTCAGAAGTGAGACTGTTTGTCGGCTACTCCAAGGAAACGAAAGGTGGTTTATTTTATAGTCCTGAGGATCAGAAGGTGATCGTTAGTACGAACGCTAGATTCCTGGAAGAAGACTATATCATAGATCATAAGCCTAGTAGTAAACTTGTCCTAGAGGAGTTAGGGAGAGATATCGATAGTTCCCACCGAGTGCGCAAGTAGATACATCACATAGTACTGCAACACGTAACACTGATAGTGTGCCAGTACAGAGGTACCTCGTCGTAGTGGGAGGGTTTCTACACAACCCGACTGATGGATAGGTCTTGAAGAGTCATCGGACTCAGTTCCAGGAGACCTAGAATCGGACCCAAGAACTTATGACGAGGCACTCCAAGATAGAGATGCAAATTCGTGGAAGGTTGCAATGAAAGCTGAGATGGGGTCTATGGACACCAATCAGGTCTGGAATGTTGTAGAACCACCCGATGGGATACGTCCCATTGGATGGAAATGGGTTTACAAGAGAAAGAGGGGATCGGATGGAAAGATGGAAACCTTTAAAGCTAGGCTTGTTGCGAAAGGTTATACCCAGAAAGAGGGTATCGATTATGATGAAACCTTTTCGCCAGTAGCTATGCTTAAATCCATTCGGATTCTCTTAGCTATAGCCACTCATATGGATTATGAAGTCTGGCAGATGGATGTTAAGACGGCTTTCCTTAATGGGAACCTTCAGGAAGACATCTATATGCAGCAACCAGAAGGATTCATTGCAAGAGGGCATGAGCGCTTAGTTCGTAAGCTTAATCGGTCCATTTATGGACTGAAGCAAGCTTCAAGATCTTGGAATATTCGGTTTGATGAGGTAATCCAGTCATATGGATTCACCCAATGTCCGGATGAGCACTGTGTATACAAGAAGATTAGTGGAAGCGTGGTGGTGTTTCTTGTGCTATACGTGGATGACATACTTCTTATTGGCAACAACAAGAAGGAGTTGTCGGGCGTAAAGGTGTGGTTGTCTAAGTAGTTTGATATGAAGGACTTGGGTGAAGCAGGACACATTCTTGGTATCAAGATCATTCGTGATCGTGAGAAGAGAATGATGTGCTTATCTCAGTCTTCATATATAGATACTGTCTTGGCCAGATTCAGTATCCAGAACTCTAAGAGAGGTACATTAACTTTCAGACATGGAGTACCTTTATCTAAGGAGTTGTCTCCTAAGACAACTGAGGAGATAGAGGACATGAAGACAGTTCCTTATGCTTCGACAGTAAGAAGTCTCATGTATGCAATGCTGTGCACTAGGCCTGATATTAGCTACGCCGTTGGCTTGGTAGCGAGATATCAAAGTAATCCAAGAAGGGAACATTGGGCTGCGGTGAAACAT